GATGATGACGACGACGACGACGACGATGATGATGATGATGATGACGAAGACGATGTTGATGATGACAATGAAGACGAGTCTGATAACGAAGGTGCCGGAAATGAACAAGAAACAGAACAACAAAATACTGAGAACACAGAACTTGATGAAGGACAACTTACGTGAAACAGAAAATTTCTGATAGTTTTATTAATATAACCTAAACACCAATCCAAAGAAGCAGACACATTTTATTTTAAACAGTATTGTACATTTATTTTAACACGAAGTTACAATTCCATCAGTTCCAACCCACTGTACCCCTCCCCTCCTTCTGCCCAAAAACTGAAAGAAGGGAGGGGATGGGAGGGGATGGGAAAGTCTAATTGTCATCGTTATGCTTTAATTCAACTTGTTTTCTGCTTTTTACCGATTTTATTAAAACAATGAAATTCGAAGACTGCTTCTGAACATGAAAACTGCAGCTTTGAAGATTTTACGCATTCCACTTGTAAGAAAACAGCATGTTTAGAGATAAAGGTCATCGAGTTTAAAGAAACAAATTAAATAATGACAAAAGAAAATCCAGCTTTAAAGATACCGGTTAAATGTCTCGTGTAATGTCAGTATATTATCCGCAGAGGTGGTAAGAAGAATTTAAGTAATAACTAATATCAAACTGATTTGTGCGGTGAGGAGAATTAATTTCTTGAGCTTTGCAACTAAACCGACAAGTTTAAGATGCCACACTCGCAATTTAATAGACTAAGATAAACCACAATCTTAAACGTTTTGAAACCTACACTGTGATAAAATTACCCAGCCTGGGATTGTATGGGACGCGTTTCATTACTGGTTCCAGATTTAAACATAAATTAAAAGTGAAGCTTATTTGTGTAATTATCTCGTCTACTTCTAATTTGAGTTAAACTTGTTTTAACTTTTCAAAGAAAAGTCTTTTCGCCTCACTCTATTACCCACCCTAACATTATTAACTACTTATTATCCGAGAGTGAGGTCTTTACGGGAAGATTTCAAACCGAGACCTTGCCGTTTTCACCAAGCGATAGCGTGGTCAATACGGAAAGGTCGAGGTTTGAGATTTTCATGCAGTAAATAGCGCACGTTCGAGGTTAATAAGTTGTTCAGTTTATGGCTTTTTGCTTTGTTTTTGTCAGCCTGTGGGCACTATGAGAGAATAATGCCTAGAATTAGCCAATCAGTGCGGGCGTTATGTCGGCTACAAACACAAGCCTCATAATACTCATTACACTATACCGCAAAGTCATTGGGGACGTCTCTTTCTTTGCCGGAGTTTTCGTCGGCGTTCTCGTTGTGTACATATTCGGATGATCGGGGCACGTCGTAGTTTCCATCGACTGATGTAAATGTCGTTGCTGGGATGTCGTAATCACTTGTGGAGGGAGTTGCTCTGGGAATGTCGGAATTTCCAGTGTCTGAGAAATAGCGTAACAATGTCAACTTAAGTTTTAAATAATGCGCTAGTTTCAGCACGATGTTGAGAAACTCATCAACACGTGTTACACCTACTCAGCGGAACCCAACAATAAAATTGGTAGACTGGGGCCCAGCAAATGACAGGAGCACATTATAACCCTTCAGAATAGAACTCCGCTATGAAAGATATCGTTTACCTGACCGCTCTGCATCCAGGTGTTCACCTCCTTCCTCGCTGTCTGATGCAGAAACAACCATGTCGTAACTGTGGAGCGGATTATTCAAACGCGTCTCTATTTCACTAAATTCCAAACGCTCGTCTGGATCTTCCCACCAGCAATCTTTCATCACAGCAAATATGAAGTCGGGACAGTTGTCGGGCCTCCCAAGCTGAATGCCCTTTTAGAAAGGGAAATTAAACTTTAAGAGATCTTTAACTGCCCATAATATTCGCTTGGGGTTCACAACCATATCTACAAGGCTCAAACGCTATGCTCAAAAGAGTGAAGCAGTGAAAAAAAAACGTTTTCGACGTTGTGTCATCTTCAGGGCAACTGAAGATGACATAACGTCGAAAACATTATGTTCACTTCACTCTTTTAAGCCTTGTAAAAATTAATTGCAGATATTTAACTCGTTAGAGTCTTATCACATAATTATGTTAGTTGTAAGAATCTGTTGGCCCATCAGAAGAAATGCTCACATACATGATAGGCTACAAGCAGCTTCTCTTTTCTTAGTCTTTAAAGCATAAAGACTGACGCACGAGTGGCGAAGCGCGCGCGCGAAATCTAGGGTGAAGGCACGCTAATATTGGCATTATTACATAGAATATTAAATGTAGAAATGACATCAACTCGGAAAAAAATCCGAGCTCCAGATGGGATTTGAACCCACGACCCTCTGTGATCTAGCCGTACGCTTTAATCACTGAGCTACTGGAGTCTCTATGGTGAGCAAGGGTGAAATACTGTCATTTCCTTGATAATTTTAGGAGAATTAAACTAGTACCTTCTGAATAAACCCCATCACTTCTTTGTTGGTATACCCATAATATGGCTGGAGACCAAATGTGAAAATCTCCCAAAGTACCACACCATAAGCATACACGTCTGACCCGACAGTAAACTTGCCGTACATCAACGCTTCAGGAGACAGCCAGCGAATGGGAAGCAAGGTTTCTTCACTCATCTAGAAAACCCGAATATCCAAGTTATAAGCTGATTTACGCGCGGCTGTGTCCGCCTCAGATACATTCATCTTTCCCTGGCCATTTTAAACAAGTCATTACTTACATGTTTGCGGACTTCTCTCCACTCATAAAGTAAAAAATAAGTAAAAAAGTAAACGGGATTTGTTGCTCAGTTGTCGTTACTATTTTATATATCATGGGTGACAAATAACTCCATAGTTTAAGTGTGAAATTCCAGGATTAATTTATAATTACAAAATTGCTATGGCAACGTTTGGCGCGAAATTTCACGGTACAATAACCAAGTAAAAATCCCACGATGATGAGCGTAACCCGTGATATTAAAAGGTAATCGAATCTTAAACTCGTGAAAATTAAGAAATAGTTTCACTTGCGTTTTGTCCAAATCCTAATAATTTCCCTCGCCCCTTGGCATCGGAAAATTATTAGAATTTTGACAAAACGCGCGTGAAATTATTTCCTAATTTCACTCGCCACCATTTGATTACCATACTTATTCACCCCCAGGGCTTTTGACGGTACTCGGCTTTTGTGGAAATACTTGTTATTTTTTCCACAGCTAAGTTGGTAGCGTACCTTATAGTAATCCGAGGTATAGATATCACGTGACATTCCAAAATCCCCGATCTTGACTATCAGACCATCTCCGACCAGACAGTTTCTTGTCGCCAGGTCCCTGTGGAGAAACCTCATCTTAGCCACATGCTGCATGCCAACTGCGATCTGCGTTGCTATAGAGACGAGGTCTTTTTGCTCAAGGTAAACTAGCGGAAAAAATAAAATAACAACATTGTTAGGCTTCCTTTGATCTATCATGTACGTGAGGGTCTTTAAGACATGCTAACATAGAAAACATTATCTCTTAGTTTCAAAGTAATGTTTCAGAAATAGCAAACCCTGTTCTTTTTAAAGGAAATTGTCATTCTTGCACTTCACAGCTATTTCAGTCCAAATTCCCAAGTACATAGCATGCGCACTAACGAGAACTTCCAACCTCACAAGACTTCGCTATCAAAAAATTATATACTTTTGCCCAGCCTCTTTGATGAAAAGCAGTAAGTTTGTTGAGTCAAAGACGATTGAATGGAAGAAGGACCATTATTACCATATGATATAAGCTAAACGTGAAAGGCAGAGACTATTCTAACAGACATAAGTTTCGAAAGCCATCTTGAACGAGATCTCGCATTGGAAAGTCGTTCACAAATTTCTTGTAATACCTTTATTTGTTTCTTTGTTGTGAGGTGATGTCTCCGCAGGCAAGGCATTTCTCAAATATTGATTCAAATCACCGCCACTCATGAACTCGAACACCATTCCATAAGGTTCCTCCTCAGTTGATACCGCCAGCAACTGAACGATGTTTGGATGTGTTAAAATGGACATTAGANGATGATGACGACGACGACGACGACGATGATGATGATGATGATGACGAAGACGATGTTGATGATGACAATGAAGACGAGTCTGATAACGAAGGTGCCGGAAATGAACAAGAAACAGAACAACAAAATACTGAGAACACAGAACTTGATGAAGGACAACTTACGTGAAACAGAAAATTTCTGATAGTTTTATTAATATAACCTAAACACCAATCCAAAGAAGCAGACACATTTTATTTTAAACAGTATTGTACATTTATTTTAACACGAAGTTACAATTCCATCAGTTCCAACCCACTGTACCCCTCCCCTCCTTCTGCCCAAAAACTGAAAGAAGGGAGGGGATGGGAGGGGATGGGAAAGTCTAATTGTCATCGTTATGCTTTAATTCAACTTGTTTTCTGCTTTTTACCGATTTTATTAAAACAATGAAATTCGAAGACTGCTTCTGAACATGAAAACTGCAGCTTTGAAGATTTTACGCATTCCACTTGTAAGAAAACAGCATGTTTAGAGATAAAGGTCATCGAGTTTAAAGAAACAAATTAAATAATGACAAAAGAAAATCCAGCTTTAAAGATACCGGTTAAATGTCTCGTGTAATGTCAGTATATTATCCGCAGAGGTGGTAAGAAGAATTTAAGTAATAACTAATATCAAACTGATTTGTGCGGTGAGGAGAATTAATTTCTTGAGCTTTGCAACTAAACCGACAAGTTTAAGATGCCACACTCGCAATTTAATAGACTAAGATAAACCACAATCTTAAACGTTTTGAAACCTACACTGTGATAAAATTACCCAGCCTGGGATTGTATGGGACGCGTTTCATTACTGGTTCCAGATTTAAACATAAATTAAAAGTGAAGCTTATTTGTGTAATTATCTCGTCTACTTCTAATTTGAGTTAAACTTGTTTTAACTTTTCAAAGAAAAGTCTTTTCGCCTCACTCTATTACCCACCCTAACATTATTAACTACTTATTATCCGAGAGTGAGGTCTTTACGGGAAGATTTCAAACCGAGACCTTGCCGTTTTCACCAAGCGATAGCGTGGTCAATACGGAAAGGTCGAGGTTTGAGATTTTCATGCAGTAAATAGCGCACGTTCGAGGTTAATAAGTTGTTCAGTTTATGGCTTTTTGCTTTGTTTTTGTCAGCCTGTGGGCACTATGAGAGAATAATGCCTAGAATTAGCCAATCAGTGCGGGCGTTATGTCGGCTACAAACACAAGCCTCATAATACTCATTACACTATACCGCAAAGTCATTGGGGACGTCTCTTTCTTTGCCGGAGTTTTCGTCGGCGTTCTCGTTGTGTACATATTCGGATGATCGGGGCACGTCGTAGTTTCCATCGACTGATGTAAATGTCGTTGCTGGGATGTCGTAATCACTTGTGGAGGGAGTTGCTCTGGGAATGTCGGAATTTCCAGTGTCTGAGAAATAGCGTAACAATGTCAACTTAAGTTTTAAATAATGCGCTAGTTTCAGCACGATGTTGAGAAACTCATCAACACGTGTTACACCTACTCAGCGGAACCCAACAATAAAATTGGTAGACTGGGGCCCAGCAAATGACAGGAGCACATTATAACCCTTCAGAATAGAACTCCGCTATGAAAGATATCGTTTACCTGACCGCTCTGCATCCAGGTGTTCACCTCCTTCCTCGCTGTCTGATGCAGAAACAACCATGTCGTAACTGTGGAGCGGATTATTCAAACGCGTCTCTATTTCACTAAATTCCAAACGCTCGTCTGGATCTTCCCACCAGCAATCTTTCATCACAGCAAATATGAAGTCGGGACAGTTGTCGGGCCTCCCAAGCTGAATGCCCTTTTAGAAAGGGAAATTAAACTTTAAGAGATCTTTAACTGCCCATAATATTCGCTTGGGGTTCACAACCATATCTACAAGGCTCAAACGCTATGCTCAAAAGAGTGAAGCAGTGAAAAAAAAACGTTTTCGACGTTGTGTCATCTTCAGGGCAACTGAAGATGACATAACGTCGAAAACATTATGTTCACTTCACTCTTTTAAGCCTTGTAAAAATTAATTGCAGATATTTAACTCGTTAGAGTCTTATCACATAATTATGTTAGTTGTAAGAATCTGTTGGCCCATCAGAAGAAATGCTCACATACATGATAGGCTACAAGCAGCTTCTCTTTTCTTAGTCTTTAAAGCATAAAGACTGACGCACGAGTGGCGAAGCGCGCGCGCGAAATCTAGGGTGAAGGCACGCTAATATTGGCATTATTACATAGAATATTAAATGTAGAAATGACATCAACTCGGAAAAAAATCCGAGCTCCAGATGGGATTTGAACCCACGACCCTCCGTGATCTAGCCGAACGCTCTAATCACTGAGCTACTGGAGACTCTATGGTGAGCAAGGGTGAAATACTGACATTGCCTTGATAATTTTAGGAGAATAAAACTAGTACCTTCTGAATAAACCCCATCACTTCTTTGTTGGTATACCCATAATATGGCTGGAGACCAAATGTGAAAATCTCCCAAAGTACCACACCATAAGCATACACGTCTGACCCGACAGTAAACTTGCCGTACATCAACGCTTCAGGAGACAGCCAGCGAATGGGAAGCAAGGTTTCTTCACTCATCTAGAAAACCCGAATATCCAAGTTATAAGCTGATTTACGCGCGGCTGTGTCCGCCTCAGATACATTCATCTTTCCCTGGCCATTTTAAACAAGTCATTACTTACATGTTTGCGGACTTCTCTCCACTCATAAAGTAAAAAATAAGTAAAAAAGTAAACGGGATTTGTTGCTCAGTTGTCGTTACTATTTTATATATCATGGGTGACAAATAACTCCATAGTTTAAGTGTGAAATTCCAGGATTAATTTATAATTACAAAATTGCTATGGCAACGTTTGGCGCGAAATTTCACGGTACAATAACCAAGTAAAAATCCCACGATGATGAGCGTAACCCGTGATATTAAAAGGTAATCGAATCTTAAACTCGTGAAAATTAAGAAATAGTTTCACTTGCGTTTTGTCCAAATCCTAATAATTTCCCTCGCCCCTTGGCATCGGAAAATTATTAGAATTTTGACAAAACGCGCGTGAAATTATTTCCTAATTTCACTCGCCACCATTTGATTACCATACTTATTCACCCCCAGGGCTTTTGACGGTACTCGGCTTTTGTGGAAATACTTGTTATTTTTTCCACAGCTAAGTTGGTAGCGTACCTTATAGTAATCCGAGGTATAGATATCACGTGACATTCCAAAATCCCCGATCTTGACTATCAGACCATCTCCGACCAGACAGTTTCTTGTCGCCAGGTCCCTGTGGAGAAACCTCATCTTAGCCACATGCTGCATGCCAACTGCGATCTGCGTTGCTATAGAGACGAGGTCTTTTTGCTCAAGGTAAACTAGCGGAAAAAATAAAATAACAACATTGTTAGGCTTCCTTTGATCTATCATGTACGTGAGGGTCTTTAAGACATGCTAACATAGAAAACATTATCTCTTAGTTTCAAAGTAATGTTTCAGAAATAGCAAACCCTGTTCTTTTTAAAGGAAATTGTCATTCTTGCACTTCACAGCTATTTCAGTCCAAATTCCCAAGTACATAGCATGCGCACTAACGAGAACTTCCAACCTCACAAGACTTCGCTATCAAAAAATTATATACTTTTGCCCAGCCTCTTTGATGAAAAGCAGTAAGTTTGTTGAGTCAAAGACGATTGAATGGAAGAAGGACCATTATTACCATATGATATAAGCTAAACGTGAAAGGCAGAGACTATTCTAACAGACATAAGTTTCGAAAGCCATCTTGAACGAGATCTCGCATTGGAAAGTCGTTCACAAATTTCTTGTAATACCTTTATTTGTTTCTTTGTTGTGAGGTGATGTCTCCGCAGGCAAGGCATTTCTCAAATATTGATTCAAATCACCGCCACTCATGAACTCGAACACCATTCCATAAGGTTCCTCCTCAGTTGATACCGCCAGCAACTGAACGATGTTTGGGTGTGTTAAAATGGACATTAGACTTACTTCTCTGAAAAACTCGTCTTTTTGTTCTTTAGATGAATCATTTTTTAGTGCTTTGACAGCGACCAGAACTTCCTTCTTGGGCTCTTTGTCGATGAGACCAGTTGCACGACCTGAAAGAGAAATGATATGGATACTCCAGGTGTTTACGCGTCCGTTACGCCCTGGGCTCGTTCGAATTCCCTCCCGTCTTTTCCCAGGCATTTTGCCCATTCCTCGTGCGTTCCCATGCGTTTCCCGTGCGTTCCGCCAAAACACAACCCTGGGCAGTTCCCAATGGCTTCCCGAAGGCTTCCTTCATAGACTTTCCATCCATTAGCCTTCAGTTGCCATGCATCTATTCACCGCGCGTTTCTTGTGCATGACCTCGTATTCCCGGTCTGTTTATTTTTCTCAATTCCCTAATGCATTCTCAATGTATTACCAGTGTATTCCTATGCTTCCCCCCTTCGTTCTACCATGCGTTCCCCTTCATGCCGTTCTACGAATCCAAATGCGTTACTTCAAGGGATCAGAGTGGGTTCCTGTCTATGGACACCCGCCATGCGTTTGCTGTGTGTTTCTCCCATCCGTTTGCAGGGTTGTTAAACCGTTTGAAGTACTCTTACTAGTGTGTTTCCTGGCATCCTCCTTAAGTGACAATAGCAATGATCAGCGATGGCGGGAGTCCATTAGGAAGACTGGGAAGTGAGGGCAGTGAAGATTTTGAGGATGAAAATGGATGCGACAAGTGTAACTTACCTTGAAAGACTTTACCAAAGGATCCCATGCCCAGGTCCCTCACGTACTGCACACGATCCAGCCTGTACTGTCTCAGTTTGTTTGGATCGTAATGACGTGACAGCAATGTGTCCAAGCTCTTCAAAGACTCCGCTCGTAATTTGTCTCTCATGGTAAAAGCTGTTTCAGACATTCTGTCGAACTTGTTTATCTGGCGTCTTCGCCACAAGACGAACACAACAACACACACCACAATGATGAGAACAAGCGTAAAGACTAAGGGGAGAATTGTGCTCAGATTGTTGTCTGACGGTGGGGTGGTAGGCTGGCCGTGGATAGCAATCTTTTCTTCGGTATAATCTGTGAAAGTAGAAAATAGCATGATCAGACATTTGAACCATGTCTCGAGCGGTGTCTCACTGGTTGATCAGGATCCACGTGTACAAACCTTGACTTTTGTACAAACTTTGAGATGTTATGGAGCCACACCCATCTTGTGTTGTATATACAATACCCTGCGATTAACTTCACAAAAATAGCCAACGGTCCACATAAAGAGCTTATTATTTTGAATGATTTTCCTCTCCCTTTCTCCCGTTTCTTGCCGCACCTCTTTTTCAGCAAGCAGAGGTCCACTGTTACTCTTTTCAACATTTGTGATGATGATTATGTATAAAGAAAACAAGAAAGTGCTGACTTACTGAAAAATCCAGACTTGATACAGGTTTTATTTCCTGGCAAACTTTCATAATATGAGCGAGGATGGTGTTTAGAGCAATCAGGAATGCCCCGATGTATAAAATCAATGCCTTCAGATTGAATTATGATGTGGAGCCCTCCGATAACCTGATTGATTGGTTTACTGCATTCCTTAAAAATTGCCTCACAATCTCCTTTGCAGTAGTCTACAACCGAGCCATCTGGGTAACATGGTGGCACCGTGTAATGACATAACATGTTTGTCAAGATGTAGCTGCATTTCTTGTCGCTCGAGGCAAACTGATTGATTAAACCCACGATTCTTTCAAGAAATTTCTCGGTTGCCGGCAATCCAAACTTGTTGTCAAAGAATCGTTTAGTGTTCCTGTAGTCAGGAAGAGTCTTGAGTGATTCTTGGCAAACTTTGCCTTGATACAGCATACACGTGCCACCCCTGAAGTTACAAAAACTACATTTGAAAAACCACCTATGACATCAATTTAGAAAAGAGAACGTCTCAGTCGCTAAACGGAAAGCAAGAGACAGGTGCAAAGCGATAGTAAAATAAACCGTCAAATCGTGAAGGATGGACGGCTTACAAAGAAGGGAGAAATAGAAAAATTAAATATAGAAAAAGTCATTTAAACTGGTTGCTTCAGGGCATCGGCGCTAGTAAGAGGGGAACACGCTATTTCAAAAAAAAAAACGTTTTCACACCGGTAAAACATACCGCCGCCCACGACCTCCGGATAAAATCACCGTTGCTTAACTTACCGAGTTAAGGAGCCAGGCGGGAGCAAGTCGCGGGTTTTAATTTGAATGAATCGTTAATTCGTGACAAGTTATAAGAGAAAAGTGTAATACAATGTTGAGTCACAAAGCGATAAAGTAAAATCTACAAGCCGACGTTCAGAATGAAATTCACGGGTTTATTTCCAGTGCTTAAAGTTAAATTACCATTCTGAGGTTTTGTTCGACTATGTGTTTATCAAAGCAGCAGCAGATGCGCACAAGGTGTAACGTTCGGTCCTTAAAGTGTGATAAATGTCTAAATTCCAGTTGTACCCGCCGACCAGCCACTTATGTCTGAACGCAAGTATTGTTTAGTTAGTACTTCATATTTAGTAGGGTTATTTGACATTTTCATATGACTTCATATTTGATAGAATTGTCTGTGTTTTGGTGACATTTTACTAATGAGGACACTGTGATGCTTATCATAAGGAATTTGAATCTCATTAGCCTTGAATCCCGGACATACCTGCGACCAGCAACACAATAGGTAACTTACCGTTTCGTAAAGCATTTCATGGTGACATTAGTTTCGGTTTCATTCCAACAACATCCAAAGCTGTAACATATGCTGGAATTCGTATTTGTTGGCACCATACATCCCACTTTATCATTAGGGGTGATCGCAGAACAGTTCCACCTCGACGAAGGAGGCGCCACTTTAACAATACAAAGAAAAAATAAGCTTCAAAAGGCAAACTTCATAAGGTAAGGTAATTTTGTTCCAACACAAAAAAATAGAAAAAATCTCAAACAAATACAAATATTTGATTTCAGTGAACAAATGGCTAAAGATCTGACGTCCTCAAACAAAAACGTTTAATTTTTGCTGTAAACGTCAATCTTAAGCTTACTATTGTACGTGAGGTTGATCACAGAGTTTTGAAGAGAAAGATAATAAATAATGCAAATTGTCTTAAGCAGGCTTCGGCTCTTGCGTGGTCTGCTTGTTGTCTTTGAGTGAGAAGCTAAGAACCTACAGCAGACTGCCTTATGGAACTGAGATGCACTGTTTCGTATTCCTTAAGAGGCAGTAATATCCTATCTCTTCCTAAACCGTCTACAACTTGCTATGGTCTAAATTCGTTTCGTTGTGTTGCCTCGAAACTCTGGAACTCATTACCTGAGAACTACAGAACAGTAAGTTCGTATAATGACTTCGACTGAGTGGCTTATCCGCAACTATAATTTTATGCGCAATTTGTAGGTTATCATATTCTATAACTAATCATTAGCTAATATTATATATACATAATTAGTCAGCCATGTAGTATTTTTAACCTTGTACTTTTACTTTTCCTCGGAGATATTACCTAAGGCTAGCTACTCTGTAAATCCGAGATTAAATAAAGTGTATGTATGTATGCGTGTATATATGTGTGTACTGAATTTCCGTCGTGAAAACAAAATGCTGTTCATTAATATTCGTTTCTAAGGGTTCTTTCAATACGTGTACGTAAAGAATAAGAAAACGTTTTCTGTGTTGCTGTAAATCACGTTCTACAGTGCCCTAAGTATCTTAAGGAGTTACTTTGAACTCTCTACTTGTGAACATTAGAGTGGAGCCTACTTTAACTGATTTCAAACGCCTCGTGAAAACAGTGATTGCTGATCACTACACTAGGCTTTGAAAGTTATTCTTTTTATAATGTAGACAAACATAATAGTTAATAGCAGTTCTTGTTGTTTTTATGTTTACAAAGTTATTTTTCTCGAAGATATTATTTTCTTAGCTACCCTGTAAATCCGACATAAAATAAAGTCATGTACGTACAAGAATACCTTGGAGAGAACGAGAAATGGCGTGAAACAGCTTGTCTCTCACAGAATGGATTTAGAATGTATTGTTTTAATCATTATTAGACTTGGAATTCAAAGCCGCAAGAGGTTGATAATAACTTATCGCATCGGGGTCGAAGAATGTAAATATCGACTTTGGACATGATAGTCTTTAAACACACTTATTTCGTACACTTCAAGCACACCTTTGCATGGTTTTCTGTTATAGATGACGACTGCATGCGGAAGGATACATGGAAGTTATTTAATTAGACAAGTCCAGACAAGTGCAGCTTACTACGATCAAAATGAAAACTCATTGTATCCTCTTTGTATCTGCGTGTTAGCCCTTGTCATATTAATTTTTGCCATCAGTGTATCCACGAAATCGAAATTATTTCAGAAATGCTTAAGTGACGAGCGAGTACCGAATGGAAACATTATACGTTGTTAATTGAATGTATCGTAATCAAGTATTCAACATACCTTGTTCACTGCTCACAATCACAAAATGCGTAAAGAGTTGGATGGCGCAGAGCACTCTTAGCATCATGGGGCTGTATAACATGATCGTTACACGATGATGTAGGTTTCTTAACTTCACTACTGCAAACAAAGTCGTCCTTAAACAAGCGAAGTTCGTCGTTTCCAGAATGCTTTGATCCTGTTGGAAACTGAAAACTGCGTGCCAATGATAATATATTCAGAGAACCTGTGTTTATTGGCGTGTTCACCGAAGCTTGTGTCATTGGGTATACTCAGCGCGAGCAACTTTTAAGTTCTCCTCTTTAGAAACTTAAGATTTGTTTTTAGAATATCCCTAACACTTTCTAATGCTAAAATTTTCTAGCTATAGATATAGTAACATATACTAGAAGTATGCAAATAAAAGTTTTACAGCCATTACATTGCAGGTAATAATAATATTGGCTCCCTGGCGAGTTTCTTTCTAAAGTTGGATACTTACCAACATAAACGTGATTTGCGATTATTTTATTTGCCCGGGCCTACCACAGGTGACGTCTTAGTGTAAATTGCAGTCATAAAAAAAATTGACAGCAGAGTTATTGAGACTAAGACAAACTTTTTTGCGCGGGCTAGGGTTAGCACACTTATAATCATTGGAGTACTCAAGATTAAACACAAAGGTGATTGCACAGGGAATTCATGGAACCCACGGCGAAAAGAAGGAACGAATGGACAGGGAATACATCAGGGTCCTCAAGATGAAATACACGGGGGTAATGCACAGGGACCTCATGACACCCACGGGGAAATGAAGGAACGAATTGAATGGAGAGGGAACACTTTGGGGAAAACAAGTGAAATACAGACAGAATGCACAGGAAACTCATAACACCCACGGGGAAATGAAGGAACGAATTGAATGGAGAGGGAACACTTTGGGGAAAACAAGTGAAATACAGAAAGAATGCACAGGGAACTCATAACACCCACGGGGAAATGAAGGAACGAATTGAATGGAGAGGGAACACTTTGGGGAAAGCAAGTGAAATACAGACAGAATGCACAGGGAACTCATGGAACCCAGGGGGAAATGCAAGGACGGATGCACAGGTGTTCCTGTTAAATAACTTGAACACAATCCTTATTCTAGTATTAAAAGTGGAAGTTTATTCAACCAGTTACTTGATCTATTTCGTTCATGTCTAATTTACCGGAGAAAAGAATCGATCCACCTAAATAGTTCAAACAGGTGTTTCAACTAACGGTCCTAATCTGAACTTTATTTTGATGATGAAAGTGTGATAACATAGCATTGAGCTGAATTTCCTGATCTAATTGATGAGAATGAATTCAGCTTCCAGTATATAACCGTTCTCACTCACTAAACAATGTTTTAATTAAAATTATATTCTTACAACTAGGACGCACTTTAATCGAAATTACTTTTTCTCCATTGCTTACTTATTTGGGGGGGGGGGAGTGGAGAAGGGAGGTGAAATTAATTTTTTTTTGAGCATGTTGGTAAAACATGCTCATGCCACGTGCTCCACCCAACAGTACGGATGACGTCACTGTCAAGGACCAAATTTGGATTCAAAACCAGAACCCAGCGTGATTTGGCAACACTGACTAGTTTTCCCGCGCTTAGCGCATGTTAGTTTTCCCGCGCTCGTTGCTGGTTACACGTTTTTGTTGCTAATTTTGAAAGATTGTTTGTTTTGATTGTCGGTTTACAACACGTAGTAGCAAGCCTCTCTGACTAGAAAACTTGAGTTTAGTTGTGCGTTAGATTTGTCTCGAACTGTACCTACTTCTTCATAACGTAGTACAAAGGCGAACAAATTCTTGGAATATTTAGCTATGGAATATGGTGGTATTGGAAACTCATCCAAAATCCTCCCAAATACTGTTAGTTTCACACCTGAAGTAGTTCACAGAATTCCTTACTGGTAAAGTTGTAAATAACATCAGTTGAGTTGATTTAATGTTAAAAATACAAAACATTAAAATTCGGAGAATGAACTGAATGAATGAACTGAATTTGTAACTTTGTACAATGTTATGTAAACAAATAAGGCAGTTAGTTGAAAACTCCGCCACACGCACTTGTCAACTGAAGACGCTTCCATTTTTCTCACAAAGTACAGGAGAGAAATGTAACTGTAGAAGAGCTGAAATTGTTTTAACAGAATTAGGTAATAGTTCTGCAGCACTGTATTTCCAGACCCTCAATTTGAACGGCTATGAGAATATTGCTAAGAACTAGAATCGAGAACGATTTTCAGGGATCCCGTCTATGACCTTAAAACGACGTCTTACTAATGTCGTTGGAGATACCATAGACTTCAATCATATTAACATTTTCTAAAATTATGAATGGATAAAACGTACAAAAATTCCTCTATACTAGAATGTCATTAGGGACTCCGTAGTCAAAATCGTCGGCTCTGCTCATTCGTAGATCTTCGGATGATCGGGGCACGTCGTAATTTCCCTCCTCCTGTGATATCGTTCGCGGGATGTCGTAATCACTTGTGGCGGGACTTCTGGGAATATCATAGTTTCCTGTGTCTAAAAAAAGTAACAACAATGTTGTCATCCGTTTGATTTCAATAAATAAAAAAGCATATCGACATTAAGGGTCACCCAGGAACATTATTTGTTTTTTTTTACAACTATAATCGACAAGTGATAAAGCGGGTGTTATTGGGAATTGAGGATGACTAATGATAGTGAAGATGGGACTGGAAAACAAAATGGATCAAAGTAAGTTTCCTTTACCTTCCTCTGAAAAGCTGCAAAAATCTTTTTTGTACAAATACTTTATGTTCCGACATTTCGTCTTTCTAAATATAGATATCTCGTATATCGAGTAGTTGTACGGAGCAAGGGTGAATTGATCTCATCTCGTTACAGGCCGCCTTAGGATGAACCTAATTAATTTGACCACCCTGTAATGTTTTAAGGGCCCCTTTCTTAGCTTCCAAAATCTCCATCGGCCTTAACTGCTTTTCACGCGAGTCCTTAATTAAGGTTGAATTGGAGTTTGAAAATGTTAGTATTTTAGAAAAGAGAAAAACCGGAAAAACCCTCGAAACAAAAAAACCAACGGAGACTCAACTCACATCAGATACCAGAGCGGAATCGAACCCAGGTCACAATGAGAGAAGACATGCACTTCGACCACTGTGCCATCCCTGCTCCCCAAAACAAAGAAACACTGTCTCGACTACACGTTACCTGGTTCTGCAGCCTTTTTTTCTCCAGGCTCCTCAGTCTCTTCCACCACGTCATATGCAGGCGGGACATCATAATTGTGGTACGGATATTTAAGTCGCATACTTATCGTGGTGAATTCCAAGCGCTTGTCAGGTTCTTTTTGCCAACAGTCTTTCATTAAAGCATACATAAAATCTGGACAATTGTCGGGCTTCCCTAAATGAATACCCTGTGTAAATAAAAAAACAATCTTTGGTTCTGGTCTGTCAACTCCTAGTCTTCAAAGTCTGTCAACGTCTAGTGTCTTCTAGCTGTCTTGTTGTAAAACGGCCGAACATTCTCGGTCATATATATCAATTCAAAACACACAAGAAGCCCTGTTGAATTCATTATTTTACCTGGTGTTTACGGCTTAAAGTTTAAAGTTCAGAGACGAAGCTAGTGGGGGGGGGGGGGTCTTGGGGTGCCGTGACCCCCTTTTGTTAGCCATTTTTAAGCAAATAACCTACAACAGGTGGCGAAAACAACGTGACAATCTGGTGAGCACCCTCATTTTGACACAGTGTGACCCCCCTTTGAAAAGAAACATGACAATCTGCTGAGTACCCTCACTTTGACACAGTGTGACCCCCCTTTGAAAAATTCCTGGCTACGCCCCGAGGTTTTTGCAACAAATTCCAAACAAACAAGCTTAAGAGTGTTGAGAAGAAAGGTAAGACGATCGTGTTATTATCACAACAATTCAAGTGTGAACACTACCTTCTGAATGAATTCCATCACTTCTTTGTTGGTGTAACCATAATACGGCTGAAGACCAAACGTGAAAATCTCCCAAAGTACCACACCATAAGCATACACGTCGGACTTAAGAGTAAACTTTCCGTACAGGAAAGCTTCAGGTGCCAGCCAGCGAATGGGAAGCAAGGTTTCTTTGCTCATCTAAAAAAAACAGGACTTGAATTTAGTTCTCGTTCTACAGGATGCTTATCCTGCCGCTCAATTTGTACAGCACATCAGAAAGCATACTGTTCTTTCAACCAATCAAAAGCCAATCAAAACAGACAAACCCTGTACATTTTTCTACGCAATGCATCAGTTGCGTGCTCACCAACTTTTACTACATGGTTACAGATTTCGAGTTTCATCAGTAGTTCCTCACATTATTTGTGTTATTTGTATTCTAATCAAATGATCACTGATTCTGGTTTACTCTTACGACAATAGTGTTTAATGCCGTTCTGAACTTAATTCAACGAAAACAAATTTTTATCATAAAGTACTGAAGCACAGCTTGTTCATAGCGCCTTCATATCGCTTTAAGTAAATCAGCGACCTTGTTTGAGTAGCGTACCTTATAATAATCCGTAGTATAGATATCACGTGACATTCCAAAATCCGCGATTTTCACAACCAGGTCATCTCCGACCAAACAGTTTCTCGCTGCCAGGTCTCTGTGCACAAACTTCATCTCTGCTAAGTACTGCATGCCAGTGGCGATCTGGGCCGAGATAGAGACGAGGTCTTCTTGTGTGAGATAAACTGGTGGAAAATGAAATAAAGCACATTAAAAGAAAATTGACGTTCCACTGGGTTTCTCAGACCTGTAGGGAAACAACGTTTAAGAGCGCTAGCACAAATAAGATAGAACAGCTGTGTAAAATCGTCCCTAAGTTTCAACAACTTGGTGCATCTTTCTACAATTCTCTATTATTTCTCTCACTTCACCTGGACCGGTGGAGGTGGGGTTTTCCCCATCCTGTGAGTAAACAAGAAAAGGCAACGTGCATGTGACAACTTTTTCGGGTTTGACGAGAGTTGGAAGGAAACATTTTGAGTTGTAATACCTTTGGCCTTTTCGTTTGAGTCCAGTGATGTCTCCGCAGGCAAAGCATTTCTCAAATATTGATTCAAATCACCGCCACTCATGAACTCGAACACCATTCCATAAGGTTCCTCCTCAGTTGATACCGCCAGCAACTGAACGATGTTTGGATGTGTTAAAATGGACATTAGAGTTACTTCTCTGAAAAACTCCTCTTTTTGTTCTTTGGAAGGTTCGTCCTTCAGTGCCTTCACTGCCACGGAAATCACTTTTTTGGGTTGTTTATCAACGAGACCAGCTGCACGACCTGAAAAATAAATGATATTTAGAGTAGAACAAGTTAATAAGATGATGAAACACTCCAAACCAGCGATTTTATATGTGAAATTTATTATCAAATGAGTCTATGGAAAATTTTTCTCTTTTTTTTGCATAGATGCAAAAAGGTAAGCCTTGACGAAGTAAGTGGTCCACAACTTCCAGCGCTTAAGCAAGATGTCTTCCTACAAACCCCCCCCCCTTCCCCCCCCCCCCCCAAAAAAAAAAAGTGCATCATAGGTCTCCTGCACCTCACCCTCCCACTATCGTGAGAGTCACGTGCCTGAGAGTCACGTGCCTTGCCCAGGAGTCTAGGTAACCTGACTCAGTCTGTAATCCGAGGCGCCATCCATTCAATCATCGCATTTCTAACGTAATGGTAATTAATTTCGTCTACATTTTTTTGTTTGTGGATGAAACGCTACCATTCAGCCACTCATATAAAAGCTATTGAGTGTTACTTTTGGGCGCTGTTCATGTTTTGTTACTATTTTCTAAGCTGAGTTTGAGCGCTCTTGTGCTCAAATCTTTAAGAGCGCTCTTGTGCTTTAATCTTAAAGATTAAAGATTAATATGTTCAACATTACTTTAGGCCGCATTAAACATTACCTTGGAACACTTTGCCAAAGAATCCCTCTCCCAAGTCCTTCACGTATTGCACGTGATCCAACCTATACTGCTTCAGTTTGTCAGGATCATAAAGTCGTAACAAGCGCGAGTCCAGGCTCTTTAGGGACTCCGCCCGTAATCTATCCCTCACTGTCATGGAGCCTTTGTGAGACAACGCATGCGCGTTGTCCACTGCGTCTCTTTGTTTCTGACGTCTTTGCCACAGAACAAACACAACAGCACACGCCACAATGATGAAAAGGCAAACAAAGACTATGGGGAGAATGATGTCCAGGTTTTTGTCGTCTGATGGCGAGGTTGGCTTTACCATAGCCTCAGTATAATCTGTAAAGAGAAGGAGGAGGGTTCTGATTATTTGTTTCCTACGCGTCTTCACCGCTTATGATCAAAATCAATGGACAATCCAGTGCTCATGCGCCATAAAGTGGTTCCTAGTCTCCTTGATCAACTTTTTTCCTCCGTTTTCGTCATCAGCAGTCACCAAACAAAGATATTTTGCGTGACTTATAACTAATAACTGATTAATATGCGGGGGCCATTCTGAAAGTAAGATCACAATATACTCATGAGGTCCGAATGAGAATAAGAAATGTTTACTCACTGAAGAATCCTGTCTTTATGCATGTTCTTCCAGGTTTGTCCTCATAATATTGAGTAGTCTTGTGCGTTGAGCAGTTTGGAAGTCCCGTGTGTATAAAGTCGATGCCGTTCTCAGCTACATACACGGTAACTGCGCCAATAACTCGGTTGAGCGGTGCACTGCAGTCATTAAAAATAGCCTGACAATCACCTCTGCAGTAATCGATATTGACGCCGTCTGAGTAACATGGCGGCACTGTATAGTGACATAACAGGTTCACCATGATGTATTTGCATTTCTCGTCGTCCGTAACGAGTTGATTAATTACTCTTATTCCAAACGCGAGAAACTGTTCGGTGCCCGGCAACCAAAATTTGTTATCAAAGAATCGTGGAGTATCGCTATATGATGTAAGTGTTGAGTTGAAAGACACATGGCAGGCTTCTCCTTGATAACGCATACACGTACCTCCCCTGAAAATGGAAGAACCGATCGAGAAAGCATTATTAAACTATTTTTTACTTCCGTCTAAAGCGTTAAAAAAAGACCACATATTGACATCACATGCATGTGCGTTGATCCGTAGTTTATAAATATGCATGGAGCAGCCCCCGTGGCGCAATGGACTAGCGCGTTGGACTTCTAATTCAAAGGTTGTGCGTTCGAGTCACACCGGGGGTGGATTTTCAAACTACTTTGCGAAGATTAAAGAAAACATAACAATGACTAACTGGCGATCTTTTCCTACTGCTGTTAAGTACAATGTATTATGAGTTACAAATGAATTAAGTATTAGTATTAGTATTAGTATTATTGTTGTTATTATTATTATTATTGTTATTATTATTTATTATTATTATTATTATTATTATTATTACTGTAAGATCAGTCAGTCCACCGAAAGGTGTTGTACACCTTATTTGGTAATGCTTTCAACTTTGCAATCGATCAGTGACATTGACGCTGTTATCCGCTGTCCCACGGGGGCTGCACACAAAAACTTTTTGTGTGAACGTTTCGGTTGAAAATACTATAACCTTCAGCATAAATGGCGTACGAATGTAAATGAGTGCGTTATAAGACCGCTGTTCCCAATGGTCAAAAAAAAATTATTTTTTAGAAGCGTGGCACTCAATTCGCGCACCGAATGCCATTTACGAACACATTTACATTCCTGACATTTACAAGGCCCTAGGCAAATCCCAAGTGACGTTTTCACGCGGCTCTTATACAGCACTCATTTACATTCGTACGCCATTTATGCGGAAGAAGGTTATAGTATTTTTAACCGAAACGTTCACACAAAAAGTTTCTAGTCAGTGTTGACAATTTTTAATTCTTACTATTATGAAAATCTCTTTATCACTTTCATTGCCTTTACCCCATTTACAAAAATATGACAGTTTGACATGAAGCTCAGGGGGCACTTTGCCGTTTTGAGATCTGTACGTACAAACAGAACACACCGCAAGAGGAACTGAAACGTTGCACTGTCTGCCTACAGGGTCTGGAACAAGTGTGAAAATATCGAGCGAATTCTCGCCTACAGTTAGCTCGCACGTTCTACAAAATGGGAAGAAAATGGACTGTCTTGTAGTCTACGATTAATTCACCCTGCAGAAACTATCTTCAAGTAATAAAAGAAAAACACACCCCCGGTGGGACTCGAACCCACAACCTTTGAATTAGAAGTCCAACACGCTAGTCCATTGCGCCACGGGGGCTTCACATGTCATTTCCGAATAATTTTTCAATTTTCTATTACTATTTTTATTTTTAGACATTTAAATATTATTTTCCCTCGATTTCTTTCTCAAAAGTAATTGGCTGTTAGAACAAAAACATCATGGTGAATTCAAAGCTACTTCTTAACAGGTGGTATGTAAAAGATATTTTTACCTGTAATCAGATAATAAACAGTATCATCCTTGTGTAGCGAAGAGTTTGTAACTAAACTTGACTGAGATGTCTTCCTTAGTAGCTAACTGTAGGATAACGACAAACTACTGTGCAGGGAACAATTAATTATATCAATATCCCGGAATATCTTCATTGCTGCAACGAAATCGACGAAAAAACAAAACCAATCGTGACTTGATATAAAAAAGCGCGTTTTCCCGCCCTTGACATCAGTTGCAGGTTCCACGAGCTTTGATTGCTTCCTTGGCTGTTTTTAATTTCTTTGTTAGTTAATTGGAATCGATTTTTTAATTGATATATTTATAGTTTAGCTAGCATTTTAGATATCTCAGGCGTCCCCTATTAGCATGGGGGGGTTCTTAAATGA